GTTTTTCGAAAAAATTACGAAAACGCTTGTTTGAAAAGAAAATTGGCTTGGAAAATATTTTTTTTCTTAAGCGATTACCACAAAATTTTTAGAACAGTGTTATCGATATATTTGATGCTGGTTTTCAATTTCTCGTCATCTCTTGTCCATAACCGTACAATATTTAGAACGCATTGACTAGTTGAACCTTCAAAACCAGCTTACCCTTATGTACATAGTTATCAATTAGTTATCGACACTGCTTTTATTTCGATTAGGAAAAGTTAATTTTAAAATATCGAAGAAAATGCGGGACAAAGGCAGGACACTTGGAAAAAATCAGTACATTTTGGGGGTTTTCTGTTTTGAAAAACTACGCAGGACAGACCTTTAAGTAACAGTACGGTCCTGCAAAAAACAGAACGGATGGTCACCGTAAGTATGGCCCAGTTGCGGTCTGAATACTCCAGCCATCTGCATCCCTGCCTATTCATACTCGAACCCGACCTACCCATCCACATGCCCACTCAAGCCTACTCAGCTAACACCCCTCTCGCTATGGTCCAACCACGTCGATTATATTGTTGTTGTTTTTCAAAGCATACTTTCCACATTTTTTACAGTTAAGAGTGTTCCCTATGTAACAATAAAATTCCTTGAGTGGCAGCAATCCAATAATCACTAAATTATTCTAGATTAAATAAAACAATTTACATTTTTCCTCAAACGTCGCCTACAGATTAGCAAATTAAAGAAAAAATAACATTAATAAATTCAACTGTTAGCGATGATGTTGTATATCTTTTTTCAATGTAAAATAAGCTATCAGCGCACCCGAAAACTTATCACCCATCCTTTAATCCAATTAATCTTAGAACTAACCATAATCTTTCTCCATAGCCACGCTTTTCACTTCACATAAAGTGCAGTACAATTCTTAAGAATGCTTTTATAGAAGTTTTTTATAAAAGAAAGTGTCGCACTTAAGCTCAGAATATCTATAAATATACATTTCTCGCATCAAACGCGCCAACGAAACCACAAAACGCCACATCCGCATTGTCGGCCGCGTTCGTCGTCCGCGTTCGTCGTCGCCTATCCATTCATGCCTTGCCTTTTTGCCCTTTCCATGCGACGCTGCAGTAAATTAATCCGGCACTTTGAATATTTCAAAGCGAAACTTGAGCAATTAATTTTACTAATTGCTTTTTATTTTTTACGCGGTCACTTCAGTGCTAAGCTGTTGGGAAACTACAGCCGACTAGCAGCTGGCATCGCCCAGCTCCAATCATGTTGCGGCTGTGAGAATTTATAACAGCCAGATAGCTGCGGAGTACAGCCGCCAATGTGAATGTGAGGGGTAAGAGACGAGAACTGAGATCTAAAGTCGAGACGGAGACGGAGGCGGAGACTGAGTTGAGTATAAAGTTGAGGATGAAGTGAAAGTTGGGCAGAGCATTCAGTTTTTAAGGACCCTTAATGCGACGCGAGCGGTATAATGAAGTCACAGAAGCTGGCAGCTGGTAGTTGTACGACTGTCGCAAGGCACACTGAGAACGCCATGCGCCAGCCTTCCTTCAAGATGGTCAATCACAAAAAGTAAAGCAACTGCTTGGCGCTCAATTCAGCGCAGCTCAGCCTTTGAGCGCGAACTTTTCTGACATTTATACGGAAAATCTACTCGAAGCTGCTGGTGCGCCCCACCAAAGTTGCAGCAAAAAATATGCGAATTCATATTAATTAAAACGAAATTTTCTGTATTCGAATGTCTGCGCGTTGGCAGTTATTAGCATTCGTATCCGTTGAAAAAACTCTACATTGCCAATGAATTTAAAACGAGCCGCAAACGTCAAAGCCCCAAAGAGAAAAATGCAATACTGAGGCAATATGTAAGTCGTGCACTGTCTTGGCTAAAGTGAAAAAAACGATGCAAGAAATATATTCATCGTTTCCCTAGCTGAGTTTTAACGATTTTTGCGCTTGAGGCTTTGCGTAAGCTCCAATCTTTTTATGCTCTCGTACTTTCTACATAAGAGATGAATATTCAAATGTAGACGAAATTTAACGAAATATTTTGCGATAGGAAACTACGCGCAGCACAACAGAAAATATAAAAGCAACATAGAGGTGCCATCCGCAAAGATGGTTGCTTAAATCGAACGCGTTACAACAATATTAACAAACACCCGCAACCATTTTGGCTGCAATCAAGTCGGCGTCCTGGCTGCTATGCATCTAACGAGCTGGTTGGTTGGCGGATGGCTGATTGCTTGCGGTCACGCTGGCTGACATGCCGGCAATATCTATCTATTCCTACCCTCCTTGTCTGGACGCTGTAATCGAGTATCCGCAACTACAATCCCTGTATCCAATAAATAGTACTTAGTAAGCAGCAACTATCTCCTTGAAAGCTTCGCCAACGACAGATCTTTCTTTTGCTTTACCAAACAATTTCATTGTCTGCCAGTGCTTGCCTGCAGCATTATGAAGAAGTTGGGAGCGGGAGCAGCGGAGAGTCGTCTACAGCTCCCTCATCTGCCACCAAACATTGCTGCACTGAATAATGAACCGCAAATAAGTAACTTTGGAATTGCCGGCAGCAACAGACTTTTCTCGGAGCTTTCTTGCACCGCCAATGTCGCACAACTTGCTTCTGTCTGAAATTTTCTGCTGCAACAGCGAACGTCAAACAATGCTGGGAAGCATATACATACATATGTATGTATGTATATAGATTTCACGAAATGAAATTCGTATTTATGGTACCCCCACCCCATTCCGTACTTTTGCTAAACCACAATATAATTTCGACTATTATCCGCTCTCGCGGTCACTCACAGCTGACGAACTGTAAATGAACGTCTCGCCGCTGGCAAAAGACAATCGGTAGCAAGCAAGCGACTGAGCAAGGCAGCGCATTATTTTAGTGTTTAGCGAGGGCGGTCGGGTGGGATAGTTTAGGGTGGTGCATTATGCAATTGAATGAATTGCAATATTAATTTTAATGGAAATCGATTTGTTACTCTTTGGCTGGTTGAGGGTTTGGTTGACAGGCAAACATTTATCAAAACTTTCTAGCACTGCAGGGGGGAAGCGGAGGGTGGTCTGATGTCAAGGAATTGCCGGAAAATGTGAAGATTTTAATATTTGGAGAAGGGAATCGAAAGAGCATTGCTGATAACTTTCGTCAAATATGACTTGAATGAATGGATTGATTTTACAGTATTATCTTAATTTTTATTTATTCGCTTTTTTAATATTTTCTTGAATTTAAACAAACATAACAAATTTGAATGTGAAATGTTATGGCAGTCCTTATTTCGGATCTGTGGAGCTCGACCCTATTAAGCTGGCATTTCAGGGTACTATTTTATTTATATATAAGGAAAATTTGAAAGTTAGGGGGGCTCGAGCACCCCCAGCCCCTCCCTGGCTACGCCTATGAATATGTAGATGAAGAAAATGATACTCATAAAGGTAAAAACAAAGATAGATATTAAGAAAGAGATGAGGATGAAGATGAAGATACCGATAAAAATAAAAATGAAGATAGAGGAAGAAAGATTCAAATAAAGGTAATTATAGAGAAAAGGATATAAATAGAGACAAAGAGACTCCACCTGGAAACAATTTCGGCATTTTAGGTATTCTCGGGATTCATCGATATAATAATCGATATTTTTATCGAAGTTGTTATCGATATTTTTTATGGATTTAGTTATTTTTGGTTGAGCCGTTTATTTTGAAAGTGGCATAAGTCACCTCGTACCTCTTGTGCTTAAATGACCGGCTACTTATAATCGAATGCATCTCCAAATCGTTCTATCATCGTAAACTAAAACTATGTTCACATATCAATATTATCACAATCAAAGCTCGTTTTTTAATCACCCCGTTTACACAGGCAAATCTCAGATTATTAGCCGTCAAATTTGTTGTGCTTGTTATTCTCACATCTCAAGGAAAAGTTATGTTTCTTCTCTGTGCCACCGTGATCACGTTTCTATGCTATAATAAGCAATATAAATATACTTTAACTTAACATTTTATTAAAAATACCTTTACAAACCTCTTTTCCGTGCTAGCGTACATTTATGTTTACTTTTACATTTGGCATTTCTCCTCTTTTTTGCAAAAACAATCGATAAAACTAGGATGGACACCGAAAAGTTATCGGTTTAATCTGAGATTATTTTATAATTACAGATTAACAAGGGACGAATTTTATATGGCTAATCTCTTGTTATAATTACAGATTAGGGTGTTAAGCTCGAAAATGAGGATAATCTACTTATATGTGAACATAGTATAATGGCAAAACCTTCTACCATTGGTTGATGAAGTTGAACGATTGACCGACGCGTTCAGATACCAGTAACCGGTCATTTAAGCACAAGAGTGTGGCACAGGCGCACTTACTTTCTTTTTTCTTTTATTTGACTTTGGTATCCTTGAAAATAGACCTTCACGTCTGCCTACGAATGGCAGCGCTAGGGGAAGATCTTCTAATAAAACTTGCCAATAGGAAGGCGTTTATCGAGACATGCTCCTCATTTTGACGACTAGGTTATATACCAGCATACAAGCATAAGTATATATCGACACCTCGAAGCCATACCATGCTAAGGCTCCTTAAAATTAGAAGTATGGTTTGGAGGCGTCGATATGTAGACTTAAAATCATACTTATGCAGATTTTATTATTATTATTTTTTTTAATGTCACTATAGCTCTAAAGAATATTACAAACACACATGTGAACCTTTTTTCCACAAATTTGAAGAGTAGAAAGTAAGACTGCATTTGGTGCTGTGATGCTTTTTCATTAAATTCATTTCCAAATTGTAAATATTCCATGAAAATTGCTTGCCTGCATGCATTTCCAATTTCCTGTCATGGAATTTTCAAGCAAAATCCCCAAAACTAGTCTTCGAAATAGCAAAATTAAAAAAAATAAAATTCTTCATACACATAAGTATGTATGTATGTATGCCAAACTTTACTCACCGTTTGGAAAATGCTCCGCCATCATAAGAAGCAGAACGCTGAAGAGCTGCGTGTAGTAGCGAACGATGGAACGTGCGCATCGCCAAGAACTTTGCTGTTGTCGCTGCTGTCTACTTGTGTTGTTGTTTATGCAGCTGCTGTTGCTGCTGCTGCTGCCGATGCGTAGTAGTGACGTGATGCTGCTACAGCTGCTGCTGCTGCCATCGTAACTTTCACTCAACGACTTGTTGTTGTCGGAGGAATTAAGCTGCTGGCGGTTATGCTGCACCTGCTGCAGCTCACGCAACTGGACGAAGCTTGTGTTGTTGCAGTGTGGCATGATGCCAGTGACTATCTTCTTTTTTGCTGCCACTTTATCAAGTGGTGCGAGTTGCAAGATGCTACTCTCAATCATGTTGGAGGTGGTATAGTTGTGTCGTTTTTGCTGTGTTTCTGGCAAATCTGCGGTGCGTGTGGCTGTAACACGGCAATCCGCTGCAGTTGTTCGCAATTCCCGTTGTTGCTCCTGCTGCTGGTGCTGCTGCTGGCGCTGGTGGTTCTGCGTGGAAGTTGCGCGTGCTGCACGTTGCATCAACACCAATTTACAGTTTTTCGCTTTGTCGAATTTTTCACTGCAGCTGCTGCTACTGCTGCTGTTGAATATTTCAAATTGTTCGACTTGCTTGCGTTGTTCTTGTTGTTGTTGTGATTTTTCTGATTTTAAACAATTCACTTCTATTTGAGTTGTGTACGTCATTTTCTTATTTTTTTTTCATACACCAGACCGGGTGAGCCCCGCTCCGCCAGCGGTCGTAGTTAGCGCTGCGCGGAGTCTCAATTTGCCGCCGAATGAAATGTTGTCACGCGAACTTTTCTACACTTCACTTCTTATCTGCTATATATATATTTTTTTACTTTTTACTTTATTTTATTGCAACTCATTCAGTTTGATTGCTGTATATTATTTTTTCTTTTTGCTTTTTTTTTGGCTAAATACGATTTTCTCGTTTCTTAAGTTGAAACTGCAATTCTAAGTGTATTGAATTAATTATTTCATTGCACTGTGCCACTTCCACTACTTTCGTGCGCTTTTCGATTTATTTTGCCCCACTGAAGGCGCGCCGCCCACTTTTTCGCCAACTTATTAAATAACGCCCTCCTTTGTTTCTTTCTTATCGATCACTTACATACATATGTATTTGCCGTTACTTCTGCATCTGTAAAGTTTCATCGCTTTTTTGGAAGCTTTCGCTCATTTTACGTTTGCAACAAAATTTTAATTACTTCAAATGTTATTTATCCCATTTCGGCAAACTCTTTTCTTTTCTCGCTACCCTAAAATTGCAACAAAGTGTTTCACAATTGATGTACGCTGACCAAATTGGGTTATGGGGTGATTCAGTTCGCTGGTTGCTTGTGGCGCGAAAGAAGAAACTTTCGCTTTATTGGCAGTTTGTCTAAAGTTTTAGAAGCTCCAGTGATGTTTCCGACGTTGCTTTTGTGTACCAAGTTTCGGCTCGCCTATCGAAGTTTTCAAAAACTCTCTGCTGCGTTAATCTGCAAATGAAGAATAGAAAGAAAAAAAACTTAGTATTTTTTGCAAATTCCTGTGGATAGCATGAAATTGAAAGAAGTGCTGGAATATAAGAATGTTAAGATTTGGTCAAAGATTCGAATGCCCTTTAACTGATCACAGCTAAAAAAAAAATGCAATAAATTGAAATATAAATGTAATGGAAATAATGCATACAAAGTAAGGCTGCAATTGCATACATATGTATGTATATACGCACATACGACTACATGTACCTACATACATACTAAATATATATGTGCAAATCCGAGATAATGCCTTTCGAAAACCCAAATGATTATAAGTAACTAAAATTAGACATTTTTTTTTTATCAAGCCTGGTATATTGTCTGTCGTTTTCACAATTACTTAAGAAAGGTTGCAATACTGTTAAAGAAAGAAGCATGTAAAGAAACAAAAAAGAGTTCATATTTTGAGGGTAAATGGACTGCGAATACACACATACATATTTACAAAAAATCCTCGTTGAAATTAGTAAAATATAAATTGGTATTAACAAACGTGGCAACGCTCAACAGAAATATTTCTAGATTAATGGTCTCAACTCTTGATTTTTTTTAATATTTACAACATTTTTCAATTTAATTTATTTTTTGTTTTTTTTTTTCTATAAAACTATTGTCCAAGCTTTAGCCAAAACCATATAAATCAGAGATTCAAATTTTATACAAAATTTATGACTTCACATTTTTAATCTGAGTCTTTAGAACAGTTTTTTCCAAGCATGAGCTTCTTATGAAATAAAATGTCGAAGACCGTTCGGCCCAAAATGTAAGACATTAATACCAGTTTTCATATTAAAAAAAACCACAAAAGCCGTCACCCAAAAAAAAATTTAAAAAACGCAACGTTTTAGCCGGTTGAAACTTGAACTTCATCAGACTAAAATTGTATAGGCTATAAAACTTCATACCCAGATATGTTTTAAAAGTTTAGATTAAAAACCTCGAAATTTTGGTGAAAATTTGTTGAATTTTCCTAAAACTTTGTATAAAGTTTGAAACTCTGTTTTATGTACATGGTTTTGGTTAAATCTTGGACAATATTTTTATAGAAAAACAACAAAAAAAAATATTTATTTGAAAAACGTTGTGAATATTAAAAAAAAAATCTACGTAAACATTTATGTAAGTCACTGTAAATGCATACGCATATTTATAAGAATTGCTCGTTTAAAATAATAAGTAATTTATTTTTGTTAAAGTATCCGAATAAATATCACGTTTTAAAACCTGGGCAAAACAAAATACAGTGCAAAAGTTTAAGAACACACAGAGTGAAAACAACCTGGTAAAATATAACAACAGATAAAAAGAGATATCTCTATAGTTTTTCTTCGAGGAGAAACCCTTTATATTTTTAGTGTTTATCTTTTCAATGAATCTATGTAAAAAAAAGTTAAAAATAGAAGATGAAAAAACAAGTTTGCGCCTGGTTTACTGAGGAGTAAGTTACAGCTTTACCTACGCAGCTACAATGAATGTCTTACAGACACTGATCTACATATTTAATAATATGAATTAAAAACAAGAATCTTTAGTTTTGAGCATAAATCTCTGGATTCCACTACGCCCTCAGTTATTAAATAATCACCCAAGTCTCTTTTGCGTTTGTGCATCAGTGCAGGATAACTTCCCAAGAAGTTCAATGCAGTTTCGATACCCGCTCTAAATGCTCTAAACCTGGTACATATATTGTCCCAGTAGGGAACTCCTTGATCCTCCAGCTCTGCGCCACGACATATAGTGTCCGTTCTCAGTCAAGATTGCGGTGTTCTGATTCTGGTAGTTTCACTTGATATTAAAGTCCGACCAGATTTCTATAGCATACGTTTCAACCTGGAAAAAGGACATATAATTTCCCGTAAGTTCCAAGTTTCTCAACCTCGGTCAAACTGCACCTATCTCGGTATCCTCTTCGGTCATTGGCCATCAGTTTACCAGGTTATCATATTTGGTTATTTGTGT